TATTAACCTATTTAAGTTAAAAAATCATTGGTTTAGGAGATACTTTAATTTCAATGTTATTAGGAAATCGAGACTTTCTGGTCAATATTACGAATTCAACGTGATAACTGTTTACATTATGCAGTATTTTCTGTATTGATGGATATGTATGGTTTTGATAGAGGCATATTCCGGTGGTACTAGTTTCTTTCTAGATGGACGTGCAATGGACATAAGAAGGTCATTAAAATTTTTGTAAATGGAAATATATTATTTTTTATTATATCAGCTGATGCTCCTTAATATTCTTTACGAAAAAGTATTAACCTATTTAAGTTAAAAAATCATTGGTTTAGGAGATACTTTAATTTCAATGTTATTAGGAAATCGAGACTTTCTGGTCAATATTACGAATTCAACGTGATAACTGTTTACATTACGTAGCATTTTCTGTGTTGATATGTATGGTTTTGATGTATGATCACGAAAAAGTATTAACCTATTTCGGTTAAAATATAATTGGGTTAGGAGATACTTTAATTTTGATGTTTTTTAGGAAATGGAGATTTTGTGGTCAATATTATGTAGAAAAGGAATAAGTACGGCCCTGAAAGAAGGTCAAGAATTTTTGGGCTTAGAACGAAAGTGACCACGTGCAAGAGGATCGAATGTAGGGGATGTTTATGACAATCGAATGCAAGTGAAGAGTGAAAGCCTAGGAATGCGTTTGAGTGTTTAGGATACGTGATCCACCGATTGAGAAAAAGAACATGAGTATGAAAGAAGATAGAGTGCAAGATTTAACACTAGATTTACGGAACCCGTCAATTTGACGGAAGGGTTGCTCCAATTATACCATGGTAACAGATTTAATTAACTTATATTAAGACTGCTAATGTAATATATAATTCTTTTTAAATTAAATTAATCGTTAAAAGAAAGACACGTGGCTTACTTTACTTATCAATTTGACAGAGTCCGTAAGTCCGTAAACCTAGTGTTAAATAAGAATGCAAGAATTTAGAATCAGTAATAGAGTTCTCTGAGAGATAGCGAGTGAGAGTCAGCCGAGAGTTATTAGCGTTTAAAATTAGTTTTAGTTTAGAATAAATCATTTTTATATTTACATCACTGCTTATTCTGTTGCCTATCCAACATCCCTACAATTCTGAATAATAATAATTATAATAATTAATATGTGATAACTGTTTACGTTACGCAATATTTTCTGTGCTGGTATATATATATATACGCATCTATCGAACTTTATTAACCACGATGGGCATTCCAATTTTCACCCATCGAACGAACCATTATCGTGACTGATAGACTATCTCAATCGTTAAACATTTCCGTGCATTTCCGTGCATTTCCGCGATAATGAGGATAATAACACACTAGCGCGACACGAATACGCGAGGGCAAACGATGATAAAGAAAACGGGGACAATGCTTCGTGTATTAGGGAAAATAACAACAGTTGAAATAATAGTGATGTAATCTCGCTGTCATAAGACTCGTAAATGACTAGATAAACTGGGCTTAAACGATGACGTCATGGCTTCGTTCCATGACACCGGTATGCATGACAAAACGGGAAAAGGACGTGAAAAAAAGGGGAAAAGGAAATTGTAGAATTATTCCTACGTCCAGCAGTTGGTCTTATAACGACGTGAAATTTAAAATTGGTTCGATTAAATTCCTTGTAAGTAGCTTCGAAGTTGAAATCCGCATAATTGCTTTCAAGAACAGCTATGACGAGAAAAGAAGAACTCGCATAATTTTAAATCGATAGATTACTACCGCGAAATATATGAACATTGTGGAATCTCGGATTGATTCGATTCGAAGTTAAAATCCGTGTAATTGGTTTCAAGAGAATGCGTGAGAAAAAAGGGGATCGAGAGAGGGAAAGCATAGAATTGTGGATTAATCGTTTAGCCTTACGAAATGTGAGATAACTTTCAGGTACTGCAAGACAGTTTCAGTGTTAAAATTCGTTTCAGGAATATGTAGAACGAAAAAGGAAAAATGCAAACGAGAGGAAAAAGAAACTGTAGAATTTTATCGTTGTTCAATGTTACGAAATACATGGGAAAATATATGAACGTTGTAGAATCTCAAATTGATTCGATTAAATCCCCCGTAAGATAGCTGCAGAGCTAAAATCCGTATAATCGGTTTCAAGAGAATGAATGAGGGAAAAAAGAAAGAAATATGAGAGACAAAGAGTTATAAAGTTCTATTTCGATGATTTAGTACTACACAGATATTACACAATTTAACACTGATTCCAGTAAAGCCATCTGCTTTTAGTATTAAAATCTAGTAAATATACTAAAATTATGTAAATAAAATAAAATTCAATTCAAATATATAACAAAATAAAATTTAGTATTAAAAATAGGATTCAAGCTAGTGCGTAACCAAAAAGGAAAAATAAAAAGAGAAAACAAATTTGTAGTATTTTACATTAATTATGTAAATAAAATAAAATTTAATTTAAATATAGAATAAAATAAAATTCAGTATTTAACACTGATTCCAGCAAAGCCATCTGCTGTTAGTATTAAAATCTAGTAAATATACTAAAATTATATAGATAAATTAAAATTCAATTCAAATATATAATAAAATAAAATTTAGTATTAAAAATAGGATTCAAGCTAGTACGTAACCAAAAAGGAAAAATAAAAAGAGAGAACAAATTTGTAGTATTTTACATTAATTAAATTTCAAATTAATGATAATTCGCGTAATTAATTTCAAGAAATAAACAAGAAAGAAAAATAGCGAAATGGAAAAAGAAAATTGTAAAATCCTGTATGAATCGTCTATATAATTTAAATAATTATTAATCTCATATCGATTACACAGAAATATAACCAGATCGAATACGAAAACGATTCAGAAAACGAATGTGAAAAGAGAAGAGAAAAAGGAAATTATAGAATATTACACTGATAATTTAGTATCATAAAATACACAAATTTCGTACAATTTTTAATCGGTTAGGTTAAATCCGTGTAAATCAGATTTAGGTACCGTCGGAGACAAAATTTGTAGAAGCCACATGGAGAACACCGATAAAGAAAAAGAGCAAGAGAAAGAAAATTTGAGGATTTCACGTTGATCAGTTATCGTTGGGAACCACGTAGATATGGTAAAATTTCCAACTGATTCGATTACATCGGTGGAAAGATAGCGTGGGTGTTAAAGTCGGAATAATCGGTTTCAATCGAAGCACGTGTATTTTATTCGCGGGGTATAAAAGTAGAGATGGCAAAAAATGATATAAATGGAGGTAGATTTTCAGGAGTGGAAAAAGGTATGAAAAGTTCCAGCATCACACATTTCAATGGAAGGCAAAAACTTTGCAAACAATACGAAACACGGATATACGGGAAACCGGTATGTAACGCGAACACGCGATCATCTATCAGGGTATCACGGAGTCGTTAAATGCATTAGACCAATGGATTACTTTTTCATGCACAATATTCGTGTATAGGTATCATTAAAAACCGTTTCTCGTTATTAACGTACGCACAGTTGTGCTTATTTAGAACGGTCTATGTAGGACGTTTCACGTGGAACATCGAAAACGTATGCCGGACATAACGCGAAGTGTATTGCAAGAATATGATACTGTATTAAAATATTAAATCCCGTAATTATCAGACGGAAAAGCTTTTTCCTCTATTTTCAGCGAAAGCGTAAACAACTCGGAATAAAATAACGGAGACACGAAATCGATAAGCGAAAAAACACGGAACCGTAAATTCGAAGAAACTTTAAAATTCATTTAAGCACGGACGAAATAAAAAATGATGAACCGTGAAATATTAAAACGCTTCCCGTATAAAAGTGTAATAATAGGTCATAAATTCTCATCCGTATAACGGCGATGCAAAATTTTGAATTATATTATAAAGCGTTGAAACGGTGCATAAAACACGAGTGCGATGATAAACTACGAATCCTGATACAATTAACGATGTTTAAAACAAACAGTCGGGCCATAAAACACAGAAACCACGCGTATGAAATATCGCTTATGGGGATATAAAATATTAACAACGTACGAAAATAATGGAAAATATAGAATATCGATTACATCATTAAAAGTTACGAATTTTTGGGAAAATTTGACCATCTAACGATCTTTAATTGTACATAGGACTATGAGACGATTCAAAATGGCCGCCATGCCTTCTCTCGCGTTACCAATTATCAAAAATGCGCCGGTATTTTTAGCAAAATTGGTATTTCCTTTTACCAAGACAGAGAAATAATTGTATATGTTTGAAGAAATTGCGCGCTATTCACTTTCATAAGCCGCGCGACTTTAATTCTTGCTAATTACCTAGACTGTACTTAGACAGGCATTAGAGGACGTAATTGTTGTGTGAAGTAACGAGGTTCCTAGAGAAAGAAGGAAAAAGGGGAAGAAGTACCGCCGGTATGAAGATCATCGTTTGCTCAGGGTAGCAGATGCTACGAGTATGACTGCGCAATTGCTTAAAGACTGCATAATTGAAAAGCCAAGTCGGGACAGTTGTGCGTTAATTGCACGAGACTTACCTGCATGTTTGCGCCTTCCACCGCGCCTTCGAGGAACGACGGTTTCCTATCCTTTATGTATTGTAGTATCTTCTTGTCATCCTTCATGAACTTGACTTCATGCAAGAAAGCATGTGGGACAGTATGATTGCAATGCATAGTAGCCGTGCTCCCGTATGTTATGTAGTACGGTGCTATCAGTCGCACATGAAGTTGCGAGGAAGTTGCATCTGAAAATTGCCAACGATGATGTTTTATTTAATAGAGAAAACATTTTCGTGGAATAAACGCGAAGAATAGGGAAGCTATGAATTTTCTCGTCGGAGGGAAACGGTGACTCGCGTATTCGTGTAGCTGTAGATTCGAAGAATTATTCAAAATTTGGGATTTTATATAGTATATAGTATATAATATTTGTAGTATTGGCTTGGACAGAAAATAATATTGGTACCGTATGATGAAAAATGGTAATTATTTCGTTTGAAAAATTTACTAATTAGTAGATTGGGCATTTTGATCTATAATAAATATTTATACTAAACAAATATATGATATATATAGTATATTGGTTATTATAGTGTATAATATAGTAATTATGCTGTATAATTGATAATATATAATATTACATAGCAATTCTTCTAATTATATTAATAATTAATAGTGCAAAGTATGTTATATAAATCTATACAGTATATAGGATGTTTCTATATATTATATAAATTATATAATATACATTTTTAATCCTCTCCAGTCAAAGTGAGAGATTCACTTTTATTCAAATTAACGATGAAAAAGAAATTAATAATGGATAAATTTGAAACTCGATGTGCATTTTGGAATTTGAAATTTTATATAGTGTAATATATTATAGTATGTAGTATATAATATTTATAGTATTGGCTTGGACAGAAAATAATATTGGTACCGTATGGTATAAGATAGTAATTATTTCATTTGTAAAATTGAGTAATTAATAGATTGGCCATTATAAACTATAATAAATAATTATACTAAACAAATATATGATACATATATAGTATATAAGTTATTATAGTGTATAATATAGTATTATGCTGTATAATTGGCAATATATAATATTACATAGCAATTCTCCTAATTATATTAATAATTAGTAATATATAGTACGTTATATAAATCTATATAGTATATAGCATATTTTTATACATTACATAAATTATGTAATGTACATTTTTAATCCTTTCCAGTCAAACTGAGACTTTCACATTTATAAAACTTAATGATGAAAAAGGAATTAATAATGATTAAATTTGTAGTTCATCAAAATCGAACAAATAAAATTACGAGTCTTTAAACCATAAGTCAGTCAAGTCTGCCTAAACAGAATTTCGAAATGCTCGATACAAGCTTCGTCGCCCAAAATGCTAGCAAATTTGATGCTTTATAGGTTGCCGAGTTATGTTAACACATTTCCAACAGAAGTACACCAGTATACTTGTTCCAACACTTGGAACACCAAGTTATGGCATCAAAGTTTCGTCTGCTTTTGATGTAAATTCGGTGTCGATGTATCGGTACAAGATTCGACGGCAAAATCGATACTCGATTTTGGCACGAATGTATATCATTTTCTAACTAGCCTGTGCAAAGGTCTAGCGTCAAACCGATGCCAATTTCTAGCCAAATTCCCTACGGGATTCTTCTCGCATCCACCTCGCACGCAATTAACGATCTCTTAAACGGAATCTCGGATTATACATTCGCGAAAAGTGCGAATGTGAAAAACGTGCGAACAAATATGCGAGTCACTGTGGCTTTAGCCACTGCGCGAGCTTCGAAAAGCATTCTTTCCGTCGAAGGGTGTACCACCTTATCACTACCACCCCTAATTTACAGAGTAGTCTAACGAATAAGCAATTTCGTTCGCTTCCCTTCTAATCGGCATAATTTCGCGACGTTCGGTTGCATTGAAAATCCAGCCACAGTTGGAAGCGACCCGATTGTCACTTTTAACATTCGACGTGCATCATCCTACATACGGAGCATTTCAGCGAGTTCGAATAGCTTCGTTATCCTTTATGAAATGATTAAACGCGGCGTCCCGTCATTCGTATAACTTTCATTACACGAACATGTTGTTTTTCCCCGGTTGATTATCGCGAAATGTTCATTCGGACGGCAATATGAACGCGAGAACGTGAAATATCATCGCTTTTTAAGTATTTTTCGCGCAACGATGAAGGGAATGAGGAGGGTGCGGGGGTAGAGTTGAAAAGGGGCGGGAACGAAAGGGTGAAATATTTTTGCGAGATACGAGAGCAGGATTGTCGAGCATTTAGAACGAAATACGGCTGAAAAGGTGATAAAAACGCGATAAACCGTGTGAAGGAATAAAAGAACGTTTAATGGCGGCCGCGTGGCTGGATAATAATTAATTTAACGAATCTGAAACGTCTCATTATGCACGGTCAAAGGTGCATAGAGGACACGGGTATAACTGTAGCACGGAAAATGCGGAATGTAAAGCGCGAAACTTGCCTCGTTACCATTCGACAACAAAACATTCTGCCCTGCCCGTGTGCAACTCCATCGACGACAAAATCGTTAATTAATTTATGCTCGAAATAACAAACCTGGGAAACTCTAGTTGGTCGATGACACGAAACTTTAAACATCGTGCTCGTATATATGTGTATACTATAAAACGAATCTTGTTCCTCGTTTCACGTGGTTATTAAAATCGTAATTGGTAGTTACGTTTCGCGAAATTCGCGATTATGGCGGTAATGAAGGAGTATTTTTCGACGGTTCGAATATGCTTCGTAATATGCGGATTAAAATCAGATAAGAATGTGAAATAAAATGGAAGCCCGAGTCTGTCTCGTGGATCGCGAATTCGTACGTGATCGAGCAGAGCTTTCGGGCTGATTTTATTAAGATATAGAAATAGGAATTCGTGTTACATCGTGTTATAGATAAATCGAAACCATGGCTTGATATACGATTGAACGAAAGAAAGCGAAAATAAAAATAGGAATTTCTATTGTACGATATTATTAATAAAATTATAATTTATGCTCGTGACTGTACAATTGAATAAAGCTTCGAGAGAGTTAAACCCTTCACAAAATAAAATAAATTTTGCGCAAAATAAAAATAAAGAAACACAATTTTTATTCTGTAATATTAAAAATAAAATTATGGAATATGAATACGATTGTATATGGTCGAATAAAGTTTAAGATTTTTGTCCTCTTTAACACTAGATTTACTGAACTCAATTTGAAGGGTTGCTCTAATTATACGATGGTAACAGATTTAGTTAACTTATATTAATACTGTTAATATAATATATAATTGTTCCTAAATTGAACTAATTGTAAAAAAAGGGGGGTTTCCTTTACCTGTCGATTTGACAGGTGTCCTTAGAAATAGGTATACAGATAGTGTTCGTAAACCTAGTGTTAATACGCTCGAAGAGTAAAAAGAAAATAAAAATAAAACTTTTTGTTGTGTAATGTTATAAATAAAATAAAATGGAAGTTAAAAGTAAAGTGGAAATTAAGAATAAAAAGGAATTATTATTGTGGAATGTTATAAGTAAAATGTTACGAAATAAAATGGCAGTAAATGATTGTATTCTTATATAAATATACGATAAAATATAAGGGTTCGAAATATGCACGGAGATATGAACTATTTTATAAAGGAAATAGGAGAATCGGCAATTCTAAATAGCAAGCAGATCAATAATTGATTAAATACGACGTGGAAAACTTCCGATCCTTGAAAGAAGTACAGTCACGTTTAAAAATGGATAATACGCTTTGACGCATTGCCTATTACCACGTAGAGATTTCTGCAAAATTCAGATCTAAAATTACTCGAGTGTCCTCCATGCAGTGCAAACCTCGCCCCTTGTGATTTTAAATTACTTTCATGCATCAAGAACCGGTTAGAAGTGCCCGAAGAAAATGGAAAAGAATTTTCCGCGAATATTAAACGTAATGAAAAACACTATCGAAGCCATAAATAATTCAAAGAATAAAAGTCATGTATATTTATATGAATACATGCAAATTGGTTAAAATTGCCAATTTTCGTTAACAACATCTCCTTCGCTACAAAACAGCAGGAACAATATAAAAATATTTTGCGCAACGTATTCTTCGATAATTAGAGAAATACAAATTATTTGTATTTATAGAAATGCACCGAAACAAGCAATTTTCATAAACGATGTCACTCCGGTTGTTAAATTACAAGGACACATTTGATAAACATTTTTCTTATCGCAGTCTTCGATAATTCGAACAGTAAAATTATTTGTATTTTTAGAAAAATATCCACGTCCGCATAATTAGTAATTTTCCTCAATGACGACACTTCGACTATTAAACTACAAGGACACGTTTGATAAAAATGTTTCTTATCGAACTATTCGATGATCCGACAAATAACAATTATTTATATTTATACAAAAGGATATTAAACGTCAAGGACTTAACCAAAATATTTTTCCTAATGAACTTTCCGATAATATAAAAAAATAAAAATTATTAATATTAATATAAATACACGAAAATCCGTAAAGGTTATCAATTTTGCTTAACAACACCTCATTGTCTATAAATTTCGAAAAACACGTCGGAAAAGAAATTGTACGTAGCCATATAATTATCCTCGAAATCGAGCATCAAATTTCCGTTGGTAGTTAACGAAACGACCTGTACAATCAAATTTACATGTTATCGCGTTAACGTACGAGCCGTCGATTCGCCGTTAATGTGTCGAGCAACAATTACCCCGAGCTACATCATCGGGCAACAATTAATAACCGGATGATCGATACAATTTAGCGTGCCGGAAGGGAAGTGTCTATTAATTCGAGCGTTCCTCCGCGAAATCTAGGTCGTCGTAGGACTAGATTCACGTATTCGTGTCAACTTTCGTCGCGTTAATTCGATTAACGGTCGTTTAGGCCGCTGCGATCGTGATCATGGCGTCGATTTCGTGCACGGGTCTCGTCAATGGCCGCGGGAGGTGCCGCGCGAAAGCGAGACATCGTCAAAAATACGAAGGGGCTAATGAAACCGTACGGAAGAATGGAGAGGTTTTGGTCTGCTATAACTACTTGTGGCAGTACCCTGTTGCTGGGAGGTGTTACTGTATCGATCACTGAGAGCGCGTGTTACTAACACGCGCACAGGGTATTTCGAGGCTTTTAAGACGTTTCGGAAGCAGCATATTCGGCGACAACGAATAATCGTCGAAAATGGGATCGTTTGACGTGTGTACGAACCGTCGACAGCGCTTACGCTTGAGATTTAAATCGGTTTTTCACTCGCGTCGGAACGTTTTCCGAATAACGTTCACCACTCGAGAGCCTTTCGAAACGCCTCTGTGTACGTGAAACGAAAGGGAAGAAAAAGCGAGCAAATGGCAGAGACGAAAACGCGTTTCGCGGCTACACTCGCTATGTTTTCGAAATTCAATTTTCCGCGATTATTCTCGAGAAATATTGCGAGGCGGAAGGGAACGATAATGAATTTCGGTAATCTTTTTTCATTACGTTATAATACCGTGATTGCAATAATTGTCTGGAAGGAAAAAATTGTAAATGTATTTATACGGATATTAAAGAGGAATAAAAAATTTGAAATGTGTCGCAGCCATTGTGTTGCGGGATGGAATGATTGAATGGCATTGAACATATGTTCTAACTATTTCTAGTTCATTGTTAAATCCTTTAAATGTGTTGTATGCTTCTATAATCGAGAGAATAGGCAAATGTCAAATTTCATTTATAACACACCGCAATGAGATTTAAGTTACACCGCGTGTGTGTCATAAATGGAAATTTTTAAATAACGTGACAATTTGGAAAAACGAAAAAAATATGTCTGACATATGCAACGAGAAGTTTAAAAAAACCGCGAAAAATGTAAACACGATCATACACTTCGTAATCCATTCGAATCTTCTACTTAATGATAATTTATTAATTAACAACAGGCTTTTTTAGCAAAATTTATTAAATGCGATTGCTAAACTTACTCCTGATTATCTTTTCACTTATTCTGGCAATACATTCGTATTGTGTAAAATAAATTCAAAATATATTTTACATAAATGACACCACATATATTAATATATACTTCACTAAATCATTTGTGTTTTCGCATACTGTCAGTGAAACACTAGTCGTTAGAAAAGCCTTCATTCGAATTCTGATACATGTAACATATCGTTCAAAATGTCTTTGAAACAGAAACGCTCCGGTAAATCTGTAAAGATCGGACACGATTTCAACGATTGAATCTCTTTTAGATTCGAAATTTTATGACACTTAAAATTTCGATGAAAAAACAATTGATAATTTTCACTATCCGAGAACAAAATGAACTGACCGGGTGGGTGTTTACGATTGCGTACGACTTACATGAAAATAATTGTAAAATATATACGAATACGAATTTTCCCCAGTATGTTGATTGGCGCGGCATTGTCGTATGAATTTTCTCGCGTTGTCTCTACGCAAAATGTACTGTCTCTACGTTACTTAATACGAAAAAAACGTGCGTCTATTTTGTACAGTGGTGTGCCTTTAAACTACACAACTTCGAGCCGAGTCGGCGCTACAACTGACCAAGCTTTTCGATCGTTCGACCAACTCCCATAGAATATAAAACATAGAGCGGAGACTCGCTGTCTTTTCGCTTATCGAGCGATCTTCGGAGTCGGATTTGCTAATGGGTCAAGCATGAAATAAATGATGCGAGACGCAAACCAAAATGAATATCTTGTTGATATCTTTATGATAAGGTGGAGCGGCGAATTTTAACTAACTCATTTGCTATAATGGAAACTTGAACTGTGTTCGAAAAAACAACTTTAATACTTTGAATAATATTATTAAATAATTCATACACTTTTATTGTTGAATTTCTTGCAGCATTTTATATTTATCGAGTAAAAAATACAATGTAAAAAAAAATTAGACGCAATATTCATAATGCTAATGTTTTATTATTTTATTTATAAAATTAATATTTTATATTATGAAACTTTTCAAATGTTGCGCACGAAATAAGTCTCGAGAAATTAATAAAAATATTACAAAAATTATCTGTATTAAGAAAAATAATTTATCTATTTTTTTTTTATTTGTATACTTGTCGAGGATTTGTTTAAGTATCAAAGAGAAAAATATCGTTTATACCTTTGACTAATTTATCGCTATAAATCAGGATAAATTAAGGGAAAGTGCTGTTCATGTTATGACATTTATCTGTAATTAAGTTAATATTTATTTATATATGTATGTATATGCAAAGTCTATCACATGACGTGTTAAGATTATCTCATGACGAGAATAATTAATTATTACGTTCTTCGATCTAAATAAGTAACAGGTAAAATGTAGGAAGTCATTGCTTCACACATTGTAGCTGTGAAGTGTCCATGTAAACATTTTATACCTTCTTGTCATATGCTTACGTAAATACATTTAAAATGAAATACGTATGAATTATATAGTTACATTTAAAACATAACTGGGTATGGAAGGGCACGAGGAAGACGATTTAGAAGATTTGCGTTCAACTATTTACACATTTCCACCGAATGTACAGAATGTAATCGAACAGGTTAGATTGACAATCAACTGTCAAAAATGTATACACTTGTCACTTATCTCTAACGTAGTTAAAAATAGTTAGTGTCTTCTTATCTTGTTAGTATACTTATCTTGTTATAGCTTACCCTTTTTGTTCTAGTATTTTGTTCTGGTATTAATTTTATTAAATTTTTTAAATCTTAGGTTTTACCTAGCACAGATCCATTGGACCAACCAAACTTTAATGTAGTGGATTATATAAATTCACTGTTTCCAACAGAACAGTCTCTATCAAATATAGATGATGTAGTAAACAATATGGAATTAAAGATACGTACAATTGACAAGGAAATTCGTTCGGTGGTACGTGGACAAACAAATGTAGGTCAAGATGGAAGAGCAGCATTGGAAGATGCACAGAAAGTAATAAAACAATTATTTGTGCATATAAAAGATATTAAAGATAAAGCAGAGCAGTCTGAAGAAGTTGTTAAAGAAATAACAAGAGATATTAAACAATTGGATTTTGCTAAGAGAAATCTCACTGCCTCAATAACAGCTTTAAATCACTTGCATATGCTTGTGGAAGGTGTAGATAATTTAAAGTAATGCTTATTTTTATTAGTAAAAATACATTTAATATAGTTTTGCAACCACTATTTTACAATATAACTTCAATTTTATTTTAGGGTATTAACACAAAGGAAACAATATGGTGAAATTGTTTTACCATTGCAAGCAGTGATGGAAGTAATGCAACATTTTAATAGTTATATGGATATACCTCAAGTAAAGCAATTGTCTGATGAAGTATGTAATATTTAATACTTTATGCTATTAAAAGTACATATGTTATTTTTAGTAATATTTTGGTTTAAAGGTACGACAGATACATGTTGAATTGGCTCAACAAATTACAGCAGACTTTAAACAAGCATTTTCTGGTCAAAATCCTAAATACTTTAATCAACTTACAGAAGGTTGTTTAGTGCTATCTGTGTTAGATCCAAAAGTCAAGTAAATATATTTATTAAAAGGTTAATTATTTACAAAGTTTTAATACAAATGTAATGATTTATATTTCTCCTCATAAGGAAAGATTTACTCTCTTGGTTTGTAAGTATACAGTTACAAGAATATGCACATTTGTTTGATGAAAATCAAGATTTTGCATGGTTGGATAAAATAGATCGACGTTATGCGTGGATAAAAAAACATTTACTTGATTTTGAATCAAAATTTGGTACAATTTTTCCACAAGATTGGGAGATCTCTGAACGAATTGCTGTGCAATTTTGTCATGTTACAAGGGAAGACCTGACAAAGTTAATGCATAAAAGACGTTCCGAAATAGATGTAAAACTATTACTTTATGCAATTCAAAGGACTAGTAATTTTGAATCGTTATTAGCAAAAAGATTTAGTGGTATGACTTTAGAAAATTTGGACACAACAAATAAAAAGAGTGCTACTCCCATTGCAGATACAACTGATAATAAAGTTCCAGGCAATCCATTTGAACAAAATGAACAGGTATCATGTTTATGTTAATATACTGTAAAAATATTGAAGATTTTATATTAAACTACTGTATTACAAAGCAGGTACAGAATGAAAAGCCAAAACCATCACCATTTTCAAATCTTATAGGCAGATGTTTTGAACCATATTTAAATATTTATATAGAAAGTTTAGATCGCAATTTGGCAGATCTAATGGATAAATTTGTATCAGATTCTAAAACACAACCACCTGGTGCTAAAGATTTTGATGGTATTGAGGGTCCTAGTAGTGTATTATCTTCTTGTGCAGATCTTTTTGTATTTTATAAAAAGTGTATGTTACAATGCACACAACTTAGTACAGGTTCAATTATGTTAAGTTTATCTGAAACTTTTCAAAAATATTTGCGAGAATATGCTCTGAAAATATTACAAAATAATTTACCTAAGTAAGTAACAAACACGGTTTTTTTGTAAAGCAACTAAATTTATGATTCTTTGTAATTAAAATTTATTACAGAATCGGAGGTGGTGCAGGAATCGCTACAAGTATGAGCAGTATCCGTGACTTTCGAGATCTTTCAACATCGGGTTTTATACAAAATTTTCAAAGTTTTTTGAAAGAAGGTGAAAATACTAGATTTAGCAAAGAAGAACAATCACGAATATGCTGGTAAAGGTTTGCTAATTAAAAAAATTTTAATTAATATAATATTAAGAAGTAAATAAATTAAACGAAATTATATTTTAGTATATTAACGACAGCTGAATATTGCTTAGAAACAACACAACAATTGGAAGAAAAACTACGAGAAAAGACAGATAAATGTTATGCTGAAAAAATTAATCTGTCACAGGAACAAGATATTTTTCATAAGTATAAAATATATCATTTTTTATAGAAATGCGATATTTAATTAGTTTTTTAATAATAATATTTATGATACTCCTTTTTAGTGTTATATCGAATTGTATACAATTACTTGTTCAAGACTTAGAATCTGCTTGTGAATCTGCATTAACTGCAATGACAAAGGTATTAAATTTTTTTTTTTAATATTTATAGTAGCTTTGTACACCTTTACTGAACTATAAATTATTTTTAGGTTCAATGGAGTGCCATAGAGGTTGTTGGTGATCAAAGTAATTATGTTAATACTATTGTGGCACATCTTCGACAAACGATACCTACTATCAGAGATAGGTTGTCCTCATGCAGGAAATACTTTACTCAATTATGTGTAAAGTTTGCAAGGTAATCAATGAAGCAAAAAAGTCAATTTATTCGTTTAAACATCATCAAGAAAACTAATGAAAACTTTGCTTATTTGTAGTTCTTTCATTGTAAAATTAGTACAGCAATTGTATAAGTGCAAACCTCTAAATACTGTAGGTGCAGAGCAATTATTGCTGGATGTACACATGTTAAAAACTGCTCTCTTAGATCTCCCATCGACAGGATATCAAGTTCAAAGAAAGGCACCAGCTACATATACTAAAGTAATTTCTTTTTTATAGACTTATGCATTAAGTCATGTTTTATATATATATATATATATTCTATTTAAAACAGGTAGTAGTCAAAGGTATGGCAAGTGCTGAAATGATTCTCAAAATTGTGATGTCCCCAATAGAATCTCCAAAAGATTTTGTAAAACAATGTAGAATACGTTTACCAGATTTACAAGCACCAGAATTTCAAAAAATTTTAGATATGAAGGTGATTTAATTTTTCTATAAATATTTAGATTAGTTATCATTCGATTACAATTGTAACAATTTAAATAATTATATAAATTTATACTAGTTTAAACATGAGAATTCTAATAATTTGTAGGGTTTAAAGAAAACGGAACAAGTTGTACTACTAGAACAATTTAAGCAACCTGAAAATACAGATGTTTCACATGACACTAGGAATCACACAATTCAAGATAGCCCAGAACACGAAGCTGGGCGAATAAAACGATTGGAAAAGTTAATTAAAAAAAGAATATAAATGTGTTTCATAAACTTACATTGTAATGTACATATATATAATTGTAACTATATAGATATTAAATATTAAAATTGAATGATTCTTTTATGTTGTTGCAATCAAATAAAAATTGTTTTTGTATAATGAAATATTAATGTTTTAATTTTTTAAAATTATTTTGAAATAATTTCAATCTTAAATTTTTTTAAATTTTTCTTTTCTTTTCTCACTTGATTAAAGATTATGTGTTATAAAGAACAATAGAAACTTTGATTTTGAATTTTATTGTTGCACATAGTAAATAATATTCAGTAAACAGATAGATCTTAACCCTGTTTTTGCGCAAGTTCTTTTGCTTTAGCCTTCTCTAACTTAGCTATCCTAGCAGCAGATTTACTACCTAGGAGACCACCACCCCAGTGACGTCTGATTTCATCGTATCTATCATTGAAGTTCGTCTTAATAGCTTCAACAAGTTTCGAGAAGTTAGCTCTATCGCCGGAATCCACCTGAAATAAATACAGTGTGTTACTAAATGTAAATTAAAGTTATGATACATAATATTAATAAAATTATATCAGTAACATTATATTTAGTTATATCATCGATAATCAATGGATTGGCTCTTTTTGAATTCATCATGCTATAAATTGTTAATTAAATTTTACATTACAATAGTTATTTCAATAAAAATCCATACCTGAACTAAAGCTACTGCAGTGCAAGTTTTACGCCTGACAAGACGTCCCAACCGCGATTTACCTTTCACAATACAATAAGGTACACCCATCTTACGACAAAGAGCTGGTAGAAATAGAACAACCTGTAATATAAAATAATATATTGATACACAAGAAAAACATAATACTTTCTATCTTATATGACAAAATTGTTTCACTCAGGGTCATGTTTCATCCTTTGAAGAAATCTTATTATATTAAATTTAATCTCAGGTGAAGAAATTCAAGCATCATTGTGATAAAATAATTAAATGGTGTGTTTTAGTAAGTTTTCTGAGAAAGAAAGAAAGAAAGAAAGAAAGAAAGAAAGAAAGTATACCTCAATTGGGTCTACATCATGGGCAATCACCACAAGTTGAGCTTTCTTTTGTTCAACAAGTGTAGTTACTGTATTTGTTCCACTACGTAATACATTAGGTTTCTTTGTTGGTGTATCTTCTTTTTTTGTAACTTTTTGCTCAGCTCTAGCTTTTAACCTCAATTTTTTCATAACAGCTGACTCAGGTCTGTATTTTTCCAACATTTTGAATAATTGTGTTGCTGTAACAAAAGGTTAATAGATTCCTGTGTACAAAATTATTAAATTTTCTTTATTTTTGTATTTATTTGCATTAAACTAATACGAAATAAACATACCAGTTTGTTTATCTAATGTTTGTGTGAATTGATTGATCGGTGGTGGTACTTTTAATCTTTTTTGCAATACAGCCCTTTGTCGCTGAATACGAATGTACTTGGGCCATTTCACAAAACGACTAAGGTCACGGGCAGGTTGAATATCCTGACCTAAATATTAAATTATTTATTATTAACAACATGAACTAATATCAAATACAAACTGACTAGTATATCTAAAATATTTTCATTACTTACCAATACCAAAATTGCGGGTGCGTTTCTCAAATAGAGGATTGGTTTGCTTTTTGGGCTCGACTTTTTTCACTGCTAATGGCGCAGCTGCTACCTTCTTTCCTACCTTCTTCTTTGGCTAAATTTTTATAAATATATATATATATATATATTAATATCGTTTATTTTGCAAATGTGACTTTACATATATTATTTCTGAACAAAACAATGTAGAAGTTTGAAACGCTGTAGGTAACTTTATTAAACTAAAATATTAAACTTTAACACATAAGAAATATTACTATACCTTTACATTAATAAATAATATTGTTTGTGATAAATTATAAAACAGATAAGCATTCAAATACGAGAATTGAATATAAACAAGAGAAACATATTTATATTATGTCCAAAACATGCCGAATTCTAACCACCACGATTCTCAATAATAAGCCATTACTGTAAAATATATTGGTTTTATTTGGAAATTTAGAAGATTTACCTTCTTTTGAACCATTTTTTTAACACGAAATCTGACGGATTTTTTATATCCTAACAGATATAAAAGTTAATACTTCGTTTTACTCAACACGAAGTACGACCGCCAAGAACGTAAAGGAAAATTCATGCACCAGCGCCACCATCAGCATCAACAGCGCCACTTGACAAGTAACATTTCGATGTAATTATTTCTAGAGAAGAAACACGACTATTATTTTTATTCCATCGTATCTTATCGCAATATTTTTACATAGTGATTTCATATATTTTATTAAAATAGGACAATGAATTAGATCAATTCATAATTTTATATTTTAAGTTAACATTTTACATACAAAAGTATAATTAAAGAAGTAAAAAATTTTCTTATATAAAAATAATTTTGTTATTACAAATATATAACGAACGAGTACAAATAGGTTTATGAATATTTAATGACGATAATTAACATCGAATTGGAATACATGATTAAAGTACATCATATAGAAGACGGGTAATAATGAATCATTTAAAGGTTATAAAATTGTTATAATCCCGGAACTGTATTATTAACTTATTATTTCTCACAATTTTGTATTTTTTATTCAAATAGTTTTTTAAGTTTAAAACAAATAATAGCAAGTTGAAATTGTTGAAAACGCGCATGCGCAGATTTACTATTGACGAGAATATGGTAACGGTAGGGATCGCGCGTGCGAGCTACGCGCCTCCAGTTTAGAGTATTTTCTGATGAGGGACACGTAGCGACTATGTCGATAAGTTCCTTTCATGAACGCTGATATTTGGTATTCGAAAAACTTTTGTTTATTAGTGTGCTCGTGACAGTATGTGAGCTGAATGATTAGTGGACTCCGACTTATCGTGACATTTCCTTCCGTCCTACTGTCGATTCTGAGAAGTCTCACGTTTTCTACTTAGGCGTACTTTTAGGACCATTAGCTACAGGTAATAGTGTCAGATAAAGTATAATCATTTCATATTGTGTTAAGCGTTATTATGTATTAAGCTGATTTCATTTATTTGAATTTTTTAAATCTAGTAATAACTTGTACAATCGTTATACGCATCGCATGCCGAAGTCGTCATACAGCATTCCGGTAACGGTTACTGACAAAAACTTCATATATACATTTTAAATAATATCTTAAATTATTAAATGCATATTAAATCTTAGTGGTATAACGCTTTTTTCATTGAAAAAAAATGACTTTACCCAAGCCGGTAGAAATATGAGTATGCGTTAATAATTGAAGGTAAACTATAAAAAAATACATCAATTAAAGTGATCTTATTTATTAAATATCATACAATTATTAGAACTTGTATAACAATCAAATTTATATTTCAGTAAAACATCTGTAAACGTACTCTATTTATTTCATCAAAGTTTTTAAATTACACTTTCAGTTTACAAATGAATAAGAAAGGAAGATAATGTTAAAGAGAAGTGTATTTTTCCTGTCAATTAATTTATTTATTTACGAATTAACGCCATCTACACACTTCTGAATTTAGAAGACCTCGGTACGCATAACAAGTTGGTATAAAAAAATTCGCCGATTGTAAATTACTATAATATCACGTTACAGTTACAATTCTCAGCACTACTAGATAACCGTTCTTTTATGTTTCAAACAGAATATGTACAAAATCTTCGTATTATTTCTTAGAAATTGTACAAGTACATGAAACGTATCTATCGGGGTCCAAGCAGCTGTGAAATATCATTTTACATAATAAGTAGCAATAGTTACGTTATTAATAGGTAACAATACCGATTGGTCGATATGACTATCAGAAAGATTTGTGGAATCGGTGCCGGTTACGTGGGCGGACCAACGTATAGCGTAATCGCCCTGAAATGCCCTGAAATTCAGGTGACAGTGGTTGATAAGAATAAAGACAGGATTGCTCAATGGAATTCGGAGAAGCTACCGATCTACGAACCTGGCCTCTATGAAGTGGTGAGCAAATGTCGCAGCAGAAACTTGTTCTTCTCTACCGACATGGAAACCGCGATACAGGAGGCGGATTTGATTTTCATCTCGGTGAATACGCCAACGAAAACGTTCGGTAACGGAAAGGGAAAGGCAGCCGATTTGAAGTACGTTGAGAGCGTGGCTAGAATGATCGCGGAAATTGCAACAGGGGATAAAATCGTTGTGGAGAAGAGCACGGTGCCGGTTAGAGCGGCGGAAAGCATCATGAATATTTTGCGTGCCAATCACAAGCCAGGAGTATCGTATCAGGTAACATCTCGGCCATAGAAATTTACGAACGCTTCAACCATATCGACGAAATAGCAATCGATCATTTTGATAGTATATTATTTGTCGAAATTGAACCATTGTATGCAAGGAAGGCTCATGAGAGAAAGGATAAATTGTTATGTTCAATTTCACGTTCTAAACTGTTCTGGCCGAAGTATAAATTATTTTCTTGGAACTTCTTTGTTTTTCCTTTGTCACTCTCTGTAGACAAGATTTAATGGTCTCGAGAGTAATGGGTTGGACGCCACGTGGCTGGCTTCTGGTGCACCGTTGTGTATTAGAAGTGAAAATGGGTAGATAGATAGTTTATTGGACTCAATATCGAAGTAAAATAAGAGCAACGGAAATTTAGTACAGTCGCTCCTGCTCTTAATGGAATATTATACTGTACCCTTTCGAGCTATTTTTAGATATAGTATATGTGTTTCCTTACTGTACGTTGCTTAACTATTCTTTCCTTTCTACATATGGCTTACGCTGACGCAATTTAATCGCTTTTTCAAAAATATTCAAATTTCTATATAATACCAAAATTAAAATACTAATTAAGCCTTAATTAAGTATAGCCATTTGTGAATACTATTATCAATGATAAAATTTATCGAATAACTTGTTCAAGTATGGTGAAGTTTTCAAATGTAAACGCGACATTTATGTAACGTAATTTCATCGTATACGTAGGCATATATGAATATTCAGTTTTATAACTTTTCAATTCAGCGTTTCGAGAATATTTCGTTCGATTGTATACCGTATGTAATATTATTCACGCTTCTTGCTTACGGTCATTATTAACACATGGCTGAGATCTGAAATTACCTGATTTAATACCTGTCGAGTTTATGTCCGTCGTCCAAGACGTTCCGCTATTCGAATCGCTATTCATTCGTCACGATCCATTCCCTACTGATCATTCATGACCTTTTTTTTTTTCTTTCTCATCCAACCAGCCTTTTTATTATTTATTGCGCGTCCTTTGATATCATCGACGCAATTGTACGAGGCGAAAGTAACAGGAAAGGTGTAATCTTTTTTAGATCTTATCGAATCCAGAATTCCTGGCGGAGGGAACTGCTATCGAAGATCTGGTGAACGCAGAACGCGTTTTAATCGGAGGCGAGGACACGCCGGAAGGGCAAGCGGCCATCGAGGAATTATGCAAGGTCTACGAGCATTGGATTCCAAGAAAAAATATTTTAACCACCAACACTTGGAGCTCGGAGCTATCCAAGCTGGTAAAAGAAGAAACAAAATACATACATTTGCGAACGAAACGATAACATTCTTATTTATGAAATGTTAACGAGCCAAACTAATTACCTACACTTGCTGTGTATTTAGTTGATATCGGAAAAAGGAAAACCAGATGTCTGTTAAGTACATAACAATTCTATCGTCACGTTTCGCATTTTAAATGTCGTATCGTGACAATACATTGTTGAACATATAAGTTTATCTTCGAGTTAATATTTATCTACGTTTAATGAACCAAATGTAAAGTGTTACGTAATTATTTGAACAAATTGTGATTTTAGGCCGCCAATGCCTTTTTAGCGCAACGCATATCAAGTATAAATTCCCTGTCGGCAGTATGCGAAGCAACCGGTGCCGATGTATCTGAAGTGGCCCTGGCTATTGGCCTTGACTCTCGAATAGGATCGAAGTTCCTTCACGCATCGGTCGGCTTCGGTGGTTCGTGCTTTCAAAAGGACATTCTCAATCTAGTTTACATTTGTGAATGCCTGAACCTACCTGAGGTGGCGGCTTATTGGCAACAGGTCATAGACATGAACGAATATCAGAAATCTAGGTTTTCGACAAAAGTAATAGAATCTTTGTTCAATACCGTTACGGACAAGAAGATTTCTATGCTGGGCTTTGCCTTCAAGAAAAATACCGGCGACACGCGTGAGTCACCGGCCATTCATGTTGCTAAGACTCTACTCGATGAGGGTGCAATGCTTCACATATACGATCCCAAGGTGATTCTCTTCAATGAAAATGTAATCATACACACTTGACTTGTTACTGACCGTTTTGTATCTCTTTTTCTTTACGAAGGTCGAGGAGAGCCAAATTATCGAAGAATTAACTCATCCGAGTGTAACAAACGATCCAGCATATGTAAAAAGTAGAATTAGTATTTACAAAGATGCTTATAGCGTTACAAAAGGTACACATGCTATTGTCTTGTGTACCGAGTGGGATGAGTTTATAGTAAGTAACAATTGTAATTGTGTAAGCACTTTAAGAGTAATTTCATGATTAATAATCTGGATCTTGCTTTTATCAGGAATTAGATTACAAACGAATTTACCTTAACATGATGAAACCGGCGTATATTTTTGATGGAAGAAAAATTTTAGACCATGACGATTTACAAAAGATCGGTTTTATTGTACAGACTATTGGTAAAAGAACTTCAAGAACTGGGCTCACAAGAGCATCTAAAGGAAGTCAAACTATGAGTAAAATTGCGCACCTTATAATAAAAAAAGACGAACAAAAGAAAAATCAAATGCTTTAATTACTGTACAAGTGCTTTGAAATATGAAACATTTTTGGTAATAATTCTGACCTAAAAAGCATTTGTTTTTACTTGTTAAATAAAGAATTTTTTTATTTTAAAAACTAAAAAATTTTTTAAATCCTGTAAAATAGGAGGTTAGCTTTCAATTTTTTAAGTTTATAAGGGCGTAGTTTTACGAGATTTTAAAAGCTCAAAAATTTTTAATGATGGCTACATGTATGCATTTAACATACATCGCTTATAAATTTTTGTAATAACGAACAATGTCAGTTGGATCAAATATCTATATATATATTTTTTATATAATTTGATATATAGTGAATACTACATCAGCAGTTATTATAATTATAATGATAAGGACCGTAGTATTATTTTCGTCACATTCTGTTGGTATTGTAAGTATTATTCTGAATTTATCGATTACGGGCATTTATGCGGTCTACTACAGTAAAAGATACTATTTTAAAAAAACAAATATTTTGAAAATTCGTTTGTTTTTGTGCAATATGACATGAAACATATATTGCAAGTGTGAAATCTTTGATACTAATACATTGTTTAACGCGATACATTAGGACATAAAGATACAGTACAATAATTACAAATGTTTTAACTCTAAAAAAAATTCTATTATTAAGTATTGTCAATCATACAGAGAATTACCATAGTCTGATTATTTTATATTTCTGTATTCCATTATTGCATTTTTAAGGAAACTTTTCTTATAGTTCTCTGTTCAATTTTAAAGATTATGTCTTCTTTAGATAGTATTTTTATAAGTTTAAATAATTTCTTCTTAATGGTACTACTATTTTGAAAAATATAATAAAATTGTTATAAAAAACTGTTTGCTTTATTACAAGGACCATATTAATTTTCAAAATATATTTTTTGTTGTAGTAACATTAGGAAGAAATGAAAAAAAGTAAGCAATAATAGTGATATTATATTTGGTATATTATATCATACATATATAATATTTGATATTAAAATTTGCCTTATAATATACCATTTATAAAAAAGAATTCTTGAGGTTAGGAAGTTACAGGATTTACAATAATTTTACAAGAACTATTTTCATTGTATGTAATTACAAGACTCTGGTATAAACAAATAATTTAGTATTCATTTATTCCAATCAACACGATACCTTTACTTTTGTGGTTATATACATGAGATTTATAAATAAATGTTAAAGAAAATTTTGTAATTCAATGTTCCTGCCGTTTGTTTGGTGGTTAACACATGTACATTCCTTTGACGTTCCTTCGGCGAAATACTTTCCTATTTTTAGATAAGTATTTCGGTGTTCTGTTCCCCCAAATGGATGAAAATTGAAAGAAAAAATATGATTTTATATTCTTTTTTTATGTAACAATTATTATTGATCGCGTTAGATCGTTTTCAGTTTTTGCATAGAATACGAATCTCGAAATTGCTATTGCTACGTAAAATCCCCCAAAAATATATAAATAGAATAATGTCCATACGACAATGAATAACAAACGTATCAAGTTTATGCAAGTTGAGAATTTATCGTAAAATTAAGCCGGTAACCTATATATGACATTTTGAACGAAATGACAGCGATTAATAAAAATTGAGAAATTTGTCATGGCATTGGCGCTGCTACTTACGGCCCTGCTGTAGAAGAGCGATGGCGCCGCTGAACGAACTACTGGTTGCAGAAGCAGAGGCAGCAGCAGCGGCGGTGACGGCAGTAGCGGCAGCAGTAGCAACAGCACGAGTCGCTCTGCGTTCGCCGTGAAAATTCGCGAGTGATCCGCGTGACAGTACTCTGGAGGTTACGTTAACAAGCCGGACGATGATGTCAAAGAGTTGGTGCCGCGTGATTCGCGCGAGATCGAACCATTCATCGAAGTGTCAGTGAATCATTTCGTTCGCTGTTGCTTTTTTCCTTGTCGTGCGAAACCTCTCTTTCTGTTGGCCAAGAGGGATAATAGGCCGGGCCTATCAGCACAGTAGGAAAATGGCGGCTCGCCTTGCGCGGCGTAGACGACGAGGGGCAACGAGGCTCTTCGTGTAAAGCGACCGAACACAAAAAAATAACCTTTCGTTTCCGTCGGTTGTTCGCAGTGTAAAGTGAGTAGTTGGTGTTTGATTGTCGGCGCGGTAAACGAGAACGGGAGAAAAAGAGAAAGAGAGAGATAGAGAGAAAAAAGGAGGGACCTCGTTAGCGCCGAATACCACGAGTTACGAGATGAGAGCGGGACGTGAGGAGAAACGAAGGAAAAACAACACGAGAAGCGAGTAACGAAGAACCACTGTGCGTTCCGTTTGTGCACGCGTGTGTGCTCGTATGAGAGCGAGCGGCGATCAACGGTGACAAGTGATCCGTCGACGGGGAACTTCGCCTTAGCCCCACGTCGACAAGAAGATGATATTCCGGGCATCGAGATACCGTCGTGGCTACGTCGATCGCGATCCTCGTGCCGTCGTGTGCTGTCGTCGCCATTGAGCTACGGCCGCTTTCGCGAAAATTATTTTTTTCGCGAGAGAACAGTGAGGCCGTGGACGACGGGACGACGAGGCCGCCGACGACGACGACCACGACGATCACGACGAAAAGTTGAGGGAAGATGAGAGGCGCGTGCGACGGCGGCATAGCGAGCTTTCTCGCTCTGGCGCTCCTCTGTTTATTCCACACGTCATGCTTTGTGGACGGTATGTAATGCTTCTATTACCCGTCAGTTTCTCTCTCGCTCCTTTATTCTTTTTTTTCATCCTTCTCTCATTGCTTCTCCCTTATATTTCCTATCTCTTTCTTTCTTCCCTTCTCCAGTTGTCTCTTTCTTTTACTTTCCGAAGCGCATAACGTTGCGTAAGCAACGCGGCATCGTGTGCGTACACAGAAGGGCCGATTAATCTTGTTGTACGAGGTTCGTCGAGTATGCGGAAGGGTACGTTTAATCGGCGCAAACTGTATGGACTCTCCGTCTCGTGGACAATTGATACGACGACTCTTTTTCGGCGTTGCCTTACGCATGTGTTGCTGTACCTCTTTTCACGTACATACACGTACATATCTCGTCGAATAGATTAGCTTTAACGTCTTGTTTAAAGAGACCGAAATCCTTGACCGGTGTTCGCGCTGTTTCTGTTCTTATTCATAGCTAATCGTACGCGTCGGTTTTTGTTAGGTTAGTTTAACCGTCGTCTCGAGAATTGTCGCAATCGTAGATACATCGTTCGAAATAATTAAACGATCATTGGCGCGGATTATTTTATTACTCCGGTGAAACTCGGGAGTTCTATTGTGATATCTAAGTGGCAATTGCATGCATATGTCCCTCTGCATTTCGTCACGGGAATTTCATAGCCATGCTAAGCAATTTTGCGGAAGGGGAGCGTGGCGCGTGAAAGTTTACATCGAATGCCGGTGTTTGAAGATCGATTTACCTTTGTTAACTTTCCGCGGGCGGCGCGCTACGTGCGCGTGTACAATTTCAGTATATTCTATTGCCGCGCGTTGTTTTAACGCCTGTATACGTCCGATTTAAACGTTATTACGTTGAATGCTCATTTCCAACCGTTTCGTTTTCGCGTTCAGCGTTTGGCTTGTTTTCTACGGTGCTTTCGGCAATGCGATTATTATTTTAATACGCGTTTCCTTTCGTTCCACACGCGCCATTAAATTTCAACGAGTCGAACGTTTCAAAATTCGCGCGCTTTTCATTAACGAATTCCGTCAAGTTCAAAATGAGGTTTTAATATTTAAAACGTGATATTCGAATGCCGGGGCAGTAATACGGCTATAATTTACGATTATACGCGGTCGTAATGATTAATTATACAAATGTAACAACAAGTTGCATTATTTTTTTATTTTTCATTTCTTTCATTTACGTCACCGTTACGCTCGAAGACCCAATTACTCGGAGGAACGACTCTGTTACTTTCTTCGTAATTGCAATGAACAACGTAAGCAGCTCATTGTTCCCATCAACATTCTTATCGTTACAATACAATCTTACAATTATTTTACGTGCCTTCGCGGACCATTCGAGCTCATTAAACAATAGAGATCCTCGTACTTAGCATTACAAATTCTTTCCACATGTAAATGAAGTTTCTAAATACCGCCGGAGGTATTCCCAATGAATACAATATCATTTTCATCTAAATCACGCAGAAACAGAGTTTCCTTAATTGTTTTCATCGGCGTGCTTATCCGGTGCAATTTTGCAATTGTTTTACGTGTATCGTTAACCAGTTAACGAGGCCTATTTTTTTTCTTTCTTTCCCAACGAACGTTTAATTAAGTTTGCCTGAATATCGTTAAACGATAAATCAGTAATTTGCTTATTTCATTCATATGTGAAGTAATTGCGCCGATTATGGTTTTTAATACGGGTACACTGATAAGCATCGGTGTAAACCAGCAGGAAATTATTTGTTAATTTATTTATTATAAATGGGTGAAATTCTTTTGCAAAATGGTAGTTCAGATGCGAATGATAAGACGAAAACGATAGCTATTTTCTCATTCTTATCATTCATAAATCTTTTAACAATCGTGGTTAATTCTTTCAAAAACTTGATGCAAGCAGATAATTTGTTGAGATATTCTGTAGATGATATTTTATAATATTCTTAATACCCACGAGTAAGGTACAGATTCTGATATTCCCCAGATATCACAAATCTAGTTCTTTCAATTAATTACTATACATTGGTATAGTAATATATTTCTTCTTTTTCGTCATTTATTTAAACCTTGTTTCTATGTTCAGTTACAGTTAGGGTAGAAGAGGTGGTGCAGTTGTATTTCACCCCATTTAATTTCAGGTTTCCACCCCTGTATTACAATAGCTAGACAAACATTTCTTTCTTATTTATTGTATATATTTTCAGTATGTCTCTGGAAGAATATTCTTCAGTCCAATTCAAATATTTAAGGTATTATATTATTTAAAGGGAAGATTAGGAAATGGACACAATGGTAACGCCCCAGTTGCAGTAATGTATAATTCAAGAAGTTGGAAAGGTCTACAAAGTAGAACAGTGTTGAAACTCTTAAAATGGCGACAGTATTTTTAGAAACAAACGTCTCAAAAAATGCTAACGTCTCGAGGAAAAAGTCCAAATTATATATTTTTCAAAGTCTAAATTTATTTTATATCCATCTTACATTAGCGTACTTCAAATACTGTATTGCTCGTTGAATTTTTTCAACAATTTTACTTATACGTTCTCGAGTCCTGTGCATTATTTTAGATTATTATTTCAGCTGTCCTACGTGTATATTTGATTTTCTAACAATTTAGGAAAGTTTCCATGAGCGATTATAAATTTTACAGCAAGATAATGTAATTAGTAAAATCACGGTTACATGCATGGCCGACAAATATGTGAAAATAATATCGTGCAAGCGATATGACACGTAATAAAATGGAAATTGCAAAATTATATCAGTAGAATTAGAAAATAAATCGGCGATATATAGGACGCTTCCGATAAACGGTTATTGGAGATACGAGTCGTGGTGGCGCTAGTGAGTTAAATGGAAAAGTGTCTTAAGGGCTGTCTTAAGACGCTTACTCGCGACAGGGGTTAAAATGAAACAAGAAAAATCGATTAGCAGTGACTCTAAATCTTATCTTATAACTGTCATCTTATCACGGTAAAGAATCCCACTTACTAGTGCCGTAAGAATCAAAGAGTCCACTGACAAAAGCATAGGAAAGACGAAAGAACTTACGTCTTCGAGCAAATTAAGTGGATTTCAAGATGGACAAATTGACTCGTCTCTCGTTAAAGGAATAATCGTTGTAGTTACCGGTCTGACAAAAGACACGGTTTTATCCCCGTGCAGAGTATTCCCATGATGGAAACTCGGTTTCGAGGCAAGGGTACAATTACTTTTGCCGCACCACGGTTATTTTCATAACGAAGCCGGCGATAAGCGTGGTATCTCGTGATTCTGAAATCCAATCGTCTTCGCGAGATACGTAATCTTTCGCGTAAACGCTTGCATGCGTGTGTATGCAAATGATTGATTTCCCAACGTCGAGCCACCTCGAGCTACCATCCTATTTATGCCGTGGACTTATTATTATAAACACGTCCTTAGCTGGAGCGCGGCCTCTTATCTCAGCTCTGCGTCGATAGTTAATTAAGATACTTTACGATCAATCTCGTACCGTTTTTGCCTCTTTCGGTGTCCCGTTGACCTTCCTTCGATACGACTCGGCCACGGAGAAATTGTTGCCTGGGATCCCATGCTTCTTGGAAGGATAATTCAGCATCCCATCGTGTCCCGATATTTTCATCAGATAGTTGAGCGAACAATTTTAATCGCTTGGGATTCCGTGGTGCAGTCTCTGGATCATTCGAATGATACGGATAGTTGTTGCGATCTTCCTCTTAGCAATTGGGCCTGAATTATGTTCGTTATTTATGCGCTGATTATATTCCGATCTTTTTAATGTTTAACTGTAGGTATATAGTATGTCCTTTTCAGATGATTGGTAATATAATTGTGATCAAGATTGAAATAGCAATTTAGTTACTATTATTATTAATATAGTAAAATAATAATAATAATTATTGCTATTGAAATAGTAATATAGATATTATTACTATTAATGTTAAAATAATAGTAGGATTGTATTATAATACACAAATAATACGTCTAATTACCATTTCAGAATTACAGCGTGTCATTATAATTTTCTTTCTAGATTTAATCCACGTGATTTTGATGCGAAGTCTAATATCGTTAAAGGCCTAAGCTAACATTATTTAAATTATTATTTTTCATATATTTTTTTAGCTGAAATTCCAGTTGCAATTTATTTTTGTTTCCCGCGAATATTGCGCTCTGGAGAATTTTATGAATATTACATGAAGATTTATTAGGATGATAAAATTTTACGATTAGCTGATTATACGTATACCCACGTGGGTAAGTATTAAGATAGCTATTGGTTTCGCACTAAACGTGATAATTTATCTAGATTATCAGACACGTAGTTTAAGTGGCAGTTCGTTTATTTGTGTCAGTTAAACGATACAGAATTTACACCTGGTATTACAAGAGCCTACCTTGGAGGAAGTGTCTTGTAAAAATAACTGTCACAGCGTTTCTCCAGTATTTTTTTAACTTCTTCCGATCGAGAAGCTGTGTTTGCTACAAAGATATTTTTAATTTCCTCAGAAATAATATCGAAAACAGGTGCACTTCTGTCGCTATAAATACACGTACCTGTTTCAAGCAATTAAACATTCGAGAGAACTCCAGAACGTCTATAGCATTCTTCGTGTCCTCAAAATTCTCGGAAAATCTGTAGGAAAGATTAAAAACTGAAAACCTTCGATTCTTCGTTAAAAATCTTCCAAAAAATTGTACAATTCTAATGTCACCTATTATTTATATCGTCAGACATGTATTTACAAATTTTAGAGCATCGAATATAACGATTTTTATATTTTTCTAATTTCTAGAAAAATCTGCCAAAGATTAGAAGCTAAAAATCCCCATAATTTTTTAAAAACTGTCTTCCATTTGAATTTCAAATAAAACGATTAACGATAATTAACGAATTTATGCAAATCTTCAAACATGCATTCACGAATTTCAAAGTATCCGACGATTTGCAGTATTCTCAGAAATTTTTAAACTCACGTATGATAACGAGAAAGGGTCCAAAATTTTGTCAAGA